AAAATTAAAATGCATAAAAATATCGTTACCGACGTATTAAAAACCGATATATCGGTTTTCGGTTGATATGACATTATCAGACACAACCGATTGACTAAAAACAATGATGGAACGATCTGCCAAAGTTGTTAATAGACAGCTTATTCATAAACCATTACGTTTTTCTTATCTGGTGTTTATATAATTTTATAAAGCATATGTTAAAGATTTTTGGTTCTTATTGAACCTGTTCAGTTAAAACTGATCATACCGTAAGTGATGGTTTGAGAAAAAAAAAAATTAAAGTCGTGCGGTTTAATAATGAAGTGTCTAGACCAGTAAACTCATATGACAAAAAAGGGGTCTGGTTTGGCATTTAAAAAACCGTTCAAGTCGATTGGACCGAACCATCTGATTTGACCATTTTACAAACGAGATCGTCAAATCATCAAAACAATATGATTTGCTTCTCTAACATGCTGGTATGAGTTTGTTAACACTCTGTATTAAAATAAGTGTCTGCGTTACTATTTTAGTTTGTCTCAAACGTAAATGTTATTTCATATTTTTTACTCTTAATTACGAGACAGAGAATTTTCTATTCATAATTAAAAATAAATTATCTTTTATTAATCATAAAATATAATAATTAAATAAATATTTATTTAAAAATAAATACAATTATGTAGAAAAAAAAAGGATTGAAATGACAGTGGCACAGTACACAATGGGGAAGGGTGAGACATGAAAAAACCCAAAGAGAATCTGACGACGGTCTGTGACAAAAATAGAGGTGACAGACCAACCAAAGGTGACAGTGACAGTGACAACAAGTCACCTTTTTATCTGATAAGATAGATTGAGGGAAGGCTTGCTAAAAACCTAGTACTTTTCACTTCTCATTATTAAATAACCCGAACAGGCTGCCCCCCTTTCCCTCCTATGCCCTTCATACCTAACTAGCTTTTCAATATACATAATATTTTATTAAAATGTCAAAAGTATCAGGAAGTTTCAGGTTTAAATCTAAGTAGAAATAAAAATCCCTTTTGTGGCCATAAAGGTTCAAATGCGATGACTTCGGGCTATCTACAAAGCAAATGGTCACCCTGGAATTAGTCGGCTCGCATAACGGATTGGATATCCAGGTTAATTAAAAAAAAGATGATGAGACTTTGTCCAAATAAAATGTAGGTTCTGGGTTCAATTCCAGGTTTTCCGTTAGTCTCGGCCAGTGAGTGAGTGAGTCAAAAAAATTCTCCCACATATTGGTATTTTTAAAGGCGGGTTTCATGCAGTGGCGGACCCAATAATTTTTTTGAGCAGACAGACCTTTAAGGTTAATGAAAAGCCAACAAAGTCATGGTTTAACCTACGGGAAAAATCAACATGGTTTGACCCGAGAAAAATTCAATTGTGTCAATTTGATACAAATACATTTTTAGAAATGAAATCAACCTCGATTTTTTGAGCAACACACAAAACCACGTTTTACGTTCGATATGTTCACAGTTGAATTCCACCTCTACGGGGGACTCTTTTTTTGGTTGTTTTGGTTGATTACGTAATGGGTAGCAAATGCAACAACAAAATATAATTTTATAAATTTCTTACATAAACATGTCTGATAACGTCATTTATAGCAGACTAATAACCAATTTTCAGGTGTTGTAAAAAAAAACAAAAACCCATACAAAAATTAGTAGTAGTTGATTAAGTTTTTGTAATTTTACAGTTGGTATTTGAGTTCAATGCTTTCGGTTGAAAAAGGTAACATTTTTTTGGGGATGATATGTGGTTGAATTCTCCTCCGCAGGTAGACAGCCCTCCTCCGTAGACATGGTTCTGTAGTCGAAACAACTTTCGTCACTTTCGTGTACCCATCAGACGACACATCATCTGGGGGTGCAGTAATTTCCTACTTAAGATTCAGATGCCTATGTTAGATCGTTTGTACATACAGACTTTTTAGGTCGGAATGGTCGGGCATAATGAATGTAGCTCAGTATGAATCGAACCCATGACCTTAAGGCAATTAAAACAAAATATGAAGTATTAGAGGACGTATGGTTTCATAATGTTTTTTGAATGAATGGAATTTGTCAAAGAAGTTTGACTTTGATGAAATTGGAGTGGAATTCGACCGTGCGTTCGGTTCAATGAATTGGAATGAAATATGTCAAATGACTTGGAATATGTCCATTTGGTTGGTAGAATGTAGCTTCGGAATTGGAATAAATAAACGGCAAATGACAAAAATACCCCTTTTATAACGATGGTGGTCGATTGTGGTTCAGAAAGGTGGTTTAGATCGTTGGTGGTAGACGGTTGTTCTGAACGATGGTATTTGGCAGCGGTTTAAATCCGTGGTGGTCGGCAATAGTTCAGTTTTAATGATGGTCGGCGATGGTTCAAATCAAGGGATTAATAATATTGTAATGAAAAAACAAGAGGGGTTTGAATAGCAAAAAAAAAAAAGGTGTGTTATGAATTTATTGATGTGACAAATCATAGGTTATATGTAGCATTGTATGAGAGGAGACTTGTTGTTTTGACCACTATCAAATCTATTTTGTCCATCTCCTTATTTATTTGATTTTATCAGATTTTTCTCTATTTCAGATGAGAGTTTAACATGACTGTTAAAGTAAAATTTTTACAAATCTTTAAAAAACGTCATAGTTATCATATAAATAATAGTGTTATTTTGTGACATCAGAAAAGAGATAAATTTAAGGATGGGAAAGGAGGAATGAGGCATGGAGATATATGAAGTACAATGAAAAGTTGTTTTGATGCCACCCATGATGCAAATAAAAACATCATATGCAATTTGATGTTGTATGCAGTCTACTCTCTATTTTTTAAAACATCCCTCAGGTTTGGGACTTGTCTTAACCAAATTTCTTTAATACATCTTATATATATATATATATATATATATATAGACTTGGGATTATATATGTGAGATCAAGAGTTTTTTTGTGAGACCCGTAAGACCAATTCTCAATCCTTGGATTAGATCTACAATCTAACAATCTGAACATTCATAAACGCCACGAGACTTCTTAATAATCATAAAATTGTCACCGTGCAACTTTAGACCATTAGGTTAAAAAGTTGATCAATGAACATAAATTGGTCTTACGGGTCTCACGAAAAACCCTTGGTCTCACGTGAACCCAACCTTATATGTATATATATATATATATATATGTGTGTGTGTGGGGGGGGGGGTTATGTTCGTGAAAAATCATAAAAAATAAAAATAAAACTGAGGAGCATCCTAATAATCATACATTTGTACGATATACATATTGCACACCTGCATGTAAATCAAGAAACAATTTGCTTGTACATTTGCATATGTGCATATAAATGATAATTAGAGTGTTTTCATTTTTACAGGTTTTACCCCTAAACCTCCCCCCCCCCCCCCTCTCTCTCTATATATATATACACATACACATGCACACACACATACATATATATATATATATATATATATACACATACACAACGGCGGATCTATTGCATGGTGATAGCCTGGTAGGGGTCCTAGGCCCCCAACAAACCCACCAATTTAAAAAAAAACTACAAAAGGATTTGACTATTAAATTTTTTTATTGTGCGCCTAACAAGAACAAGGCAAGGGCCCCCCAACAAGAATAAGGCAAGGGGCTCCAACTTGATATCCTGATTGTTAATTGGTCCATTTGCAGCACACACTGGTATTTCTATTCGCAATATAAAATATAAAAACTATACGTCTCGATGAAATAGTAAAAAATCAAATGAAAATCGACCTGAATACGTTATCTTTATGCGGTTAACTGAACCGTTTTCATCCGGATGAATTATTTGGTTTTGAAAAAAAAAATTACACCCCTAAATGTTCCCCCAACTATAAAAGTTTCTGGATCCGCCACTGTATACACACACATAGAGACAAGTTCAAACGAGAAAACGGTCAATATACGAGAAGACGAAATAACATGAGCCACATAATCCATTAATTAAAAAAACACCATACATACAAAATAAAAAATAATTTTAGAAATTCAAATAATTATCATTTTGAATTGGATAAATCCTTAAAAATTTAATTATATTTTAGATTTATTTATTTTTTAATCAATGAATTCATAATTATTTTTATCAAGTTTTATATAATTTATTTCTAGATACATTTTTGATATTAAAAATTCACAATTTTCATCAAATATCACCACAATCAATTCACTATGTTTTCACCATCTTTTTTCTATTTTGTATCCACGTTTTAAATCATATTTGATTAACTTTGTTTAACATATGATCTACTATATGATAACAAAAGTATGTATTTTAATAGATACCACATCACTACCCACATCAGCATTTTTCATATTTTTATTTTATTTTATCCTAAAATAAGTGTTCGGCTTAAAAAATAAGTGATTAATTCTACTCCTAGTTATGAGATGCAGAAGTTCCTCACTCCTGCTATTATTAAGATAAAATCGTCATTTAGCTGTGAGTTTGCCCAAACGAATACCCGGTAAGCATTTACCGGTAAGATTCAACACTATCACTTACCTTAGTGAGTAAGATTCTAGTTAATCGAAACGATTACCCAGTAAGCGCTAACAGGTTAAAAGGCGTCACCATCATTTACCGGATAAGACTCTCCTGTCATTGTCATCGCTCTATCCGGATAAGATTCTCGATTGTTGTCATGTTCATTCAGTAAGGTAAGTGACACGGTAAACACTTACCATGTAAGTATGTGGTAAATGACTCCTTAGTTCGTTAAAAAAATGTAATAGTTACCCGTACCTAGAACCGTGCGTCATTTTATCTTGAACATTTATTTTGGAACGAAAATAGCATCTATGTTGCTGCAATTTACACTTGTTCTCACAATCATATTTGAAGGTACAGAAAAAACGAAAGCGATCGATGGGTAAAGAATAAAACAGTTGTTTCTGTAAAAACCTGAGACTTGTACAACAGTGTGGACAAACAGGTAGAAACACCAATCAAAGTTGATTATATTGAAAACTAAAAGATAAAACCAAACACAAATTTCCAACTTGGTTTACATGAATATTACAACCAAATTAAATACATTTTGGATTGAAAAACTAAATGTGCTTCATCCACTTGTACCTTCAGCTCCTACAATAGTACCTTGGGATGTTACTGTAGTGATAATGTGGAATTGGTGGTGAAGTTTGAAGATGAACAGCAGATGATGCTGATGATGAAGAAGAAGTAGTGATTGTTGGATTGAAGAATCCTGATGATGCTGCAGCAGACATATGTGAAGGTGGTGGAGCTCCGCCACAACCACCACCGTGGACCTGCCGTGCCGCCCAATATGGTGGATACTTATCGGCCATACTCTTGTCTATTGCTGTTCCCTGATCGTGGAAAACCATAATTAGATTTTTGTTAAATTTTTCATGGAATCAATCTCTCTACTCTTTTTTGGTAATCCCACTCTGTGCGGGATTTATTTAATTTGTTTGGTTTTCAACTGTTTCAGATGGTTCGGTATGCCGATAGGAGCTGTTTAATCGGTTTTCCATCAAGTCCTTTATGGATAAAGTTGTTTGTGTAGATTAATATGTTTGAAGAGATTGAGAAGATTTTTGTTTGTGAGGGTTTTTTCATAGATAGGAGAAGCGTGCTTTTATTTATTTATTTATTGTGAGGGGTAGGTTTGGAAAAAACTTTGTCTTTCTACATAAAGCTCCACTAAAAGTTTACTGAATAAACCACTTTCTGTAGCATTATTCCAGTACCGAACAATTATATATAGCTGAATGAATAAGTTGCGATAGAAATGTACCTCATAAATGGGGCAAAAACAAGAAGGCACACCATCATGGTGAGGAGGATGGACATATTGCATTCGAGTTCCTAATGTCATATGGTGCTCAATCTGAAAGTGGACAAGCAAGAACGCTTAAAACGATCATCATAATGATAAATAAAACCAAACCCATACATACCCAGAAAATCCCACTCATAGAGTGTGGAGGATAATAAGAGCTAACACAGAGGCGGACCCATAATTGTTTAGTGATGGTACAATTAGATTATATTTTTTTTTCTTCATAATATTAGTATAGATCTGTTAGTTGGTTCCTTGTCCTTACATAGAAAAGACTCATGTTCAATTCACGTCTACATATATTTTTAAAAACAGAAGAGATATATAAAAAACCGAAAATTAAGCTTAAAACAACAAATTTGACAACCATGGGACTTGAACATGGGCCTTTTGTACAAAGACAAAAAATAGTTTACCATCTTAACCATTTAAAGTCTTATGTTAACTTTCAGTTTCAAAATCTATATTATAGCACCCAACAGAACAATACAATGACACCTTTCAAAAACGTAATTTTTTTCCTTACGACGGAACCATGAAGTGGTGGCCCGTGCCACCGTATCTATCCATGTGGGTCCGCCCCTTAGCTGACCTCTACCCCAAATAGTAAAACATATATTTTTGTGAAGAATGAAGACCCCATAAGTAAAATGAAATGGTGCCATAAAGGGCTTTGGTCAAGAATTATGTGAGCCTTTGGCCTCCTAGGAGGGGTCAGGGTTCAAAGCTCACCAAAAGTGAGAAGGGTGTTTGAGTTTATTTGTTGCATTCGCTTTATATAAATATTATATACTTCAACAAAAGAAAAAGAAGTTGTCAATATTACCCTAGTTCTTGCAGCCTGAGAAGGCATGTCACCTAAGATATAGTTGATCTCCTGCAAGCTTCCTAAGGTGTCATCTGCCTTACTACCTCCTGTTAAAGAAGGGGGAGCAATACCCAGGTTCAGATCCATGAATTGGCTGTTCTCTGTAGATAAAATATGCAAAATTATTAGCAAATAAACGAAACTTAAACGAGTAAATTAAATTTGCAATGAATAATGTTCAGGGGTTTCAATTTTGCCTCCATTGTCTGCCTCCAGACGTAGCTCGCCTTCGTACAAGCTGGGCTCGAAGTTGGTGACCGCTTCCCTTCCATTGCATTTTATAGCAGCCTTGTCATAAGCCCTGATCAATTCAGGTAAATCACACACATTTTTTAGAGGAAGGATCTTGGAGGAAAATTGGGAAATGGGAAACTATGGAGCTATATATGGAAACCTTGCAGCTTCAATTTCATTGTCGAACAATCCAAGATAGATGTACCTGGAGACAAACAATGCATGGCAATAAATAAAAACCAAACTAAATCAGTATATCTTGCTCGAAAGCAGGGTCTGGGAGAGGTAAGATGTACGCAGATGTGACCTCTATAACAGAAGGTAGAGCGGTTGTTTCTTAGAAGACCTCCGGCTTGTGCAATGTATGACAACACATGATGTCATTGATGAAAGATCGTGTGAGAATAACAATTATGGTAAGAAGGTGCAAACAGTTCAAGAGCCTTTAGATGAGTTGACTTTTTAATCTAACTTAATTTTTTCAGCTACTTTTAGTACCTTCAACTACATTCATATACCTTCAATTACGTTCATCTACTTTTTTCTTCAAATTTATCTTTACTTTTATATCACTTTCACAAACTTTAACATACATTTAATCACTTTCACATGCATGGGTTTGTTGAAGTTTCAGTCATGAAGAAAAAAAAAAGATAAATAAAGGTAGTTGAATGCAAATGAAGGTATATGAATGTATATAAATGTTTTGTTCCACCTTCTTACTATAACTCTTATTCTCACCGAAACCCAACTTTGATATCATTTAGGTAGCACTTTAATCACAATGGGACTAAAGCTGATACAATCGACTACAAATTCCTTAATGACATATATGGTTATAGTTTTTAATTCATGGGAACTCACTTCTTCCCTAGATATTGCCCCATTCGAGCTTCCCAGCGACCACATTTGTGCAGTGTAACACCTCTGTACTTTGAGCTTCCTCTAGAGAACCCAGTACTTTGGCGACGAAGAATATGCACAAACTCTTCCTTTGTCAAGTTCTTTATCTGCTTAATGGATTAAGATGGATCTGAAGCTGATTAGAACTTTGTATGAACAACATTTTTTATGTCTGAAATTTGAATATTTGATCAAACCWGCTTCAGGTCTTCCTCATAATCACTTRTATTGAAATTAATATCAGCATCAAGTCCACGGAATTTTATAGCAGCCCGATCATATGCTCTATAGAAGAGATCAGATTGTTAAAATGCTTCAGATGATAAAACAAATATMAAATAATTTGAAGAAWAGAACAAGAAGACAGTTACCTAGCAGCAGCATGTGCAGTATCGAATCCACCTACAAAATCAAGTACAGAGAGTTCAGACAAATATAACCACGTCAGCTATTAGAGGAAGAACAGATTGAAATCCAACTTGAATTAACAAACGAAGGGAATCCAATGATTTAYAATTGCTTACCCAGATAAACTTGTTTCCCACATTCCCTGCAGAAATCATAGAAAACTCGATCATAAATAGAAATAACAATGCAGAAATCACTGAAAACTGGAACCCAAAAGCAAATACGGAATAGCTAGATGATTTTGCACATTATAGATGAGCAAAATCAAAGGGATTCAAAACTATTGCCTTCAAAATACCGAAAAACAGGCAGGAAGAACAGATTGGTATCCAAATCATACCAATACTGTTACTATTCGTGATCAAAACATCAAATCCCATTCGTAATAAATTGGGGATATGATTTTCGTGGAGATGATAATTTTGCGTTTGGATTCAGATTCTAACTACGCTAAATTTGTAAATGTAAATCAACTAACCATATATGTGATTCCCATCTTCCGGTTCTCCGATAATACGTTACACCGCGATACTGAGAGCTTCGAGACCTAGGTCCTCTCCTACTCTTCTTCACCTGCTGTACATGCTGCTGTTGCTGGTGCCTTAAAATGAATACTCTATCGTTCGCCGCAACTCCGCCACCGTTATCCAACCAATGGTGCTGAATTAAGCCACCGTCTCTGCCAGTCGCCGGGAAGAGCTGCTTCGTTACGGACATAACAGACCTAATATCCTGAAAATCTTCCAGATGATTCGGTTTCAGTATATCAAAGCTATACGCCAGATTTGAGCAGGAGTACGAGTGCTCCTCGTCACCGGCGTTACTCAACGTATCCATATTGACGACGGAAGAACTCGAAGTGCCGCCAGATAGTTCAAGCATCTGCTTCTCGCCGTTATCCTCCATATATTCCGACATCAAATCGCTCCGATCAACACTTAGATTAAGGTCTAACATCACGTACGTCAATTATTTCAAATCTCACCTAATCAATTACCCTCTCGCAAAAACCTGCACAAACACACACATTAAACTAACTCCATTAATCACATAGTAATGAACACTAAACCTGAGCCTAGCATTACATATATAATCCATAAAAACAAATAGAATTCCGAATAGAATTGGAACCGTAGACAATTTTGATCATTTTTCAGTCAGCCAGAGGAAGTGCAAAGAACACAACTCATCGGGAATCAACGCCGGCAGTTGTCTGCTTCCATTTCCAGAGAGAGAAACAACTTTTTTCCTGGAGAGAGAAGGCAAACTGCTAGGTAGATAGATAGGCAGATTAAGGATCGTTATAAGCATACTGGTGGTGGCGCGTGGATTTCCCCATAGGTGGCAATATTTTGAAGGAAAGTTAATTAAAATAGCTATTTTTTATTGATAGGTCTCTAATTAACATGTACGCAATTTATAAAGGTATTAAAGTGTAAAAACGATAAAGTTAGGGACCAAATATGTAAATTATTTAATAGGTTGGCAAAAAAAACATGTCCATAATTGGCGGATAGGGGTGCCAAAAACCCCGATCAACTCAACGCGAAATAATCCAAACCGAAGCAACACAATGTTTAATCGAGTTGTAAAATTTTCAAACCGTAGGTATTGGATTGATATTGGGTTACTATTATTTGAACTCAACTCAACCCAATGAACCCGAAATCCATTTATTTTTTGGATTTAATATGATTGTTGAATTTCTATTAATATATACACTAGACAATTACATTATCGCGTACGCTATTCATATACACATCTTTATATAACGCATTCGTATATATGTTCAGTAACTGTAAATATATATACGTAAAATTGAGAAAATTAATTGAATGTGATATACGTAAGAAATATGAATAAGTTGTATCAAATAGTTGATGATGAAAAAGAAATTATGAGTAGAAAAATAACATATTGAAGGTTAGAATAATATTTTAATATATCAAAGTATCAACCTGACCAACCCGTACGGTTTTGGTTGGGTTGGGCTGCACTTTCCTTTGAGTTAGGTTGGATTAAGATTTTTCAAACCGCAAACATTGGATTGAGTTGTTAAAATGTCTTCAACCCGATCAACCCAACCCATGAGCACCCCTAATTGCGGATGTGTTTTTCCAAATCTATATATTTGGTCCCTGTAATTACAGATCTGATTTATTTTAAACCGCAAACATTGGGTTGAGTTGTTAAAATGTTTTCAACTCGATCAACCCAACCCATGAGCACCCCTAATTGCGGATGTGTTTTTCCAAATCTATATATTTGGTCCCTGTAATTATAGATCTGATTTAGAAATTTCATTTTTTTTCTTACATTTTTACCCTTCCTCAAGTTACAGACCTACCAATTGTGGATATATGGCTATTTTTGTAATTTTGGGAGAGAAATGAGTGAAAGATGAAATCATATCAAAATGATGATTTTAATTAATTTCTCTATTTTAAAATGAATTTAAAGTCTTATTTGATTGAGCTCGTTTTAATATTTAGAAGAAATATTTACAATTGAAATACTCCCACCGTCCCAAATTTAAGTGTTAATATTATTATTTCAGTTTGTTTTAAAATAATGGGCTTTTTATCAAACGTTTACTAGGTAAGTGCTTATTGATGAGAGACACTACCCTTACTTACTTTATCATATAACATTCTCTCGTTTTTATCCAAAGGGCCTTTGGCCTAGCGGTATGTGAGTCTTTGGCCTTCTAGGAGGTTAAGGGTTCAAACCTCGCCTTAGGTGAGGAGGGTGTGTGAGTTTTATTTGTTCTATTTGCCGTATATTATATACTTCAAAAAAAAAACATTCTCATTTTTCGAAATGAATTGTTAGTAAGCGTCTTAAACTCGATAAGTGCATACATGGTAAGATTAATCACTTTCACTTATCGGGTAGGACTTTCAACTCTTGTCTTACCTCTTACCAGGTAAGATTTTCAGTCCATATTATGTTCACCCTGTAAGCGATAAGACAAGAATCGAGAGTCCTACCCGGTAAGTGAAATTGATGAATTTTACCAGGTAAGATTGTGGATTTCGTCCCTACGATTTCAAAATTTCGGTTTTCATCCCTATGATTTGGTATTCATTTCTCTTAAAAAAAACATACTCACAACCAACATAATTTCAATCAGTGGATAGTCTTACTAACCTCTTGTTCCCTGTAATTGGATTAAAAAAAACTCGCATTTAAAATGTACAACATAAAACCTAAAAACTCTTTGACTTGAAAAATTACATGAAAAAATAACGTATTTTAACTTGATTCATATTTTTGGTAACATACTGTCGAAACTTCCATTTTGGTATCTATGATGTAAAGTTTTAAACATTTAAGTATCCGCTTAACCGGTTGAAAACTAATTTTAGATAAAAAAAAATCTGTGTCACTGACTACGTCAACAAATAATACTGAGTTGGATACCACATCACTCACAGCATCAGCATGATAACCGGTTAATGTTTCAACCGGTCACCCGGATATTTAAATATTTAAAACTTTACATCGTAAATACCAAAATGAAAGTTTTGAAAATACGTTACCTAAAATAGAAATCAAGTTAAAATACGTTACTAATAAAAATATGGGAAATTACGTATTTAACCTTTTTATTGGTTTTTGATGCAACCCATAATAAGAGAGCAACAAAAACACACCATGGGTAGAATCTGATGGATTCAAGTAGCACTTATTTTAGAAAACATTGGGTATTGTCTTCATCACGAGACCAGGGGTTTTTTTGGGAAAAAAAATATTTGAATGTCGCGCGTGTATCTCACGCTTCTTAATATTCAAATTTCTATAATTAAAAATTGTGATTTTTTTATCTATATAACATCAAAATTTTGGTTTTAGGCTTTATAGTTTGTAATTCATTGTTATTTTTTTTTTATTTACTTGGATATCTAACCCGTTATACGAACCAACTAACCCCATGACGACTATTCTGCTTTGCGGGTAGCTCGGAGTTATTGCATTTGAACATCTGTGGTCATTATGGATTTATATTCTTTCATGGAATATAACCTGGGACCTTCAGACACTTTTGATCTTTGGAGCTCAAGCTCAAACTAATCAGGCACCACTCTTGTGGTTTCATTGTTATTTTTGTTGCTGAGGCTAACTGCTACCTTTAATTAGAAGGGGCGAGAAAACAAAAAGGAAATATAAACCACATAGACGAAAATAGAAAATAGAAATGGTAACCATAGGGACGAATACGATCATAAAATGTAAACCATAGGACAAAACCGTAATTTCATAAAGTGATATAGATGATCGTTAACTAGTTATCCGAATTACTTATGGCCTTATGGATATACAACCATTTTCATACCGTTTTAAATTAATAGTTAAGGGCCTTTTGTGAAATGCTTATCCAGGTAAGCGCTTACTAAGTAACATTACCTCATCGGATGAATATGGTAAGAACTAAAAATCTTATCCGGTAAGAGTGAGACAAAGACTAAGAGTGGTAAGCACTTACCACTGTAAGTGCTTACCGGGTAAATTGTTCCATATAATGTCGTTTTGGTGGACTAAAATCTTGCCCGCCAAGTATATAATAGTCTTAAATTTTACCGGTAAGCACTTACCGGGTAAGTGTTTGGTAAACGACCCCTTAATCAATATATAACTACTGTCCCGATTTGATAATAGTAGATTAATTAAACATGTTAATCTATTTGAATACTTAAAAGCCATATTTTAGAGATTTAAACAAGAAAATTAGTTGGCGTTTGATTCGTTGGAATCCAAACAGAATTTGAAAAAATTGAAATGGTCAGTTCTATTGACCAAATTTTATTCATATGTTTGATCTGTTATCTGAGATTTGGTAAGAAGTCCATATATGGTGGAATATAAGGTCTTCTTTGGTTTGTAGGATTGGATAGAATTTGGAATTCAGTTTCATTCCAATCCCATGGTTTGGTTTGAAGGATTGCTTGGATTTGAAATCCCATGAGGATTGTTGGTATTTCATGGGATTTCTAAGTTATAATGATTTAAAATATGTTAGAAATATTTGTTTTATAATAATCAATTAATAAAAAGATAATTTAATTATTTTTATATATTATTTATGAATAATGGAATTTAATTCCAATCCAAATCTTATAAATCAAACACACCAAAGATTCCAAACTCTTCAAATTCCAAATCTTTCCATGAAATTCAAATCCCTCAAAACCATTCCATAAAACCAAACGTCCAACAAAGAAATTCCAATTCCTTCGTCACATCTTTTAAGAAAACTATTATGCTCTTATATTTACATCATTCCACCACAACGGTTGTCACCACACTGCCATTGCGGCTAACCATCACTATTGTTACCACTGTTGTTGTCATCACCGTAGCCCCCGTTGATGCCTTCACCACCACCCCCAACACACTGTCGCCGTCGTTATCATCATTGAGATGGAGTTGTTTTGGTTTACAACAGAATCCATGACATGTAACTTAAATTGAAGATATTGGAGATTTTCCACAATTTTTTTGCTTTGAAAACTCGATGAGTGCGGTATTAGGGTTGGGAGTGGGTGGGTGATAATATTAATTGACGGTGGTGATGGTGGCAACGATGACAACGGTGTGTGATGCCCCGGGGGGTTGAGAGTTAAATTGGATGTAAATGTTATTTTCATTAACTAAACCAAATCATAGATCGGTTACATTTGCCACAAAATGAAATTCAATTCCTTCACATTTGCCAAAAAAATGATCATATCCCTCAACCGTGGAATCCGACAAAAACCAAACGATTTATTCCGCAAACCAAACATCATCAAGAAATCTGGTGTATAAAATTTGTCATTCCAATTCCATCAAATTCTTTTTCATGGTATGATAGTTTTGAGTTATATGAATATAACCTTTGGTGTATGTAGATAAGTTATAAAACAACCAAAGATTAAGAAGTCATTTACCAGATGCTTTTACATGCAACTCTCACTTAACTTATCGAGTAACATTCCTAACCATTAAAACAGATTAATGATACCCCAGTCTAAAAAACACAATATTTTAATTTGATGCAAGATGCAACCAAACTAATGCATGATGAGCCTAGAAAGTGAATGCATTGAGGTTTCTTCGATATTGCATACATTTGGGGGTTGTTTACCTACGACCAACTAGGGTCGACAATGGGTAAGGAGGTTTCTTCGATATTGCATAACATGTAAATTGAATGCATTGAGGTTTCTTCGATATTGCATGACATGTAACATGTTATGTCTCGATCCGTTAGAATAGGTTTATGAGATGAATAATTACCCATTTCATCGCCCGCTATTTTAAATGGACTGGATCGTGGAATAACCCGTACCCCACCCGTTGCCAGCCCTACAACCGACTTGACTGAAGGTGCTGGCCCTCACTTAACTCAGCATGATTCTTAGAGACTAATTTAACCTAAGGTGCTTACCGAGCACCTACCCACCCATCAAATCCATTTTTACAGAACATCAGGGTTTCCATAGGTGAGGTTATAGTAGCAGTTCTGCATTTTCTCTAGCACTACATTAGGACCTTTGGTGGGTGGGGTCTAACGAAAGGAGGTACGGAACCATACCATAGTACGGTATGCATTACTATTTAGCTTAACGGGTCAATTTGCATACTTTCTAACCATCTCTTACCCAATTTGTGTTGGTAAATACCAAAGATCTCTAGAACTAGAGTGGAGCATATGATTTAAAACTACATGTATTCCGCACTTTCTATATACAAATCCCACAGCTTAGCAATATATGAACAAAGCATAAGCAAATAAGAAACTAGAGATGCACAAGATTAAGGCCTTCCAGGCCCAATTTTCAGTAAGCAAAAATAAAAGCTAGGCTTAGGGTTGAAAAAGAGCACAATCGGGCTATTACAAATTGTTGGCCAAATCAAGGCTATCGGGCCTTAGAATGCATTTGGTGTCCTGACCGGATAGAACACAATAGAACATTTGTTTAGGTTTGATAAAACGGAATTGAACAGGACAGAACAAGATTAATTTATCCCTAATGAGTTGTTTATGTACTTTAATTAATTTATGTAATTTATTGAATTATAATAGAATGAATAATTATTTTTTATAACAAAATATATCATTAGAAAGTTTTCATCAAAACAATTAAAATGAAACCAAAATAAAAAGTTCATATAGTTTCGAATTTTTACTTTCATCTCTTTTCTACATTATTTTTTATTAATCATAATATAATAAATTACATAAATTAATAAAAAGATAGAAATCGTATAAAACCAATATTTTGAGACCAGGAAAATGAAAGTTTAAAAAACACAAAACACAATAAATAAAATTTAAAGAATGAATAAAATGTAAAAATGAGACCTATTTGATGTTTTAGAAGGGAATTAAGTTTTATACAAGTCTGTTCCACGTTGTTCTATGGGATGGGTGGAACAGACCTACTCCACTTTATTCCACTATGTTATGGTCTGTTCCACAAAAAAGCGTTACCAATCATGGAACATGTATCCCTTGGGCTTCTTTGTGTGACTCTGAATAAAACTATTGATGAACCTGATTTATACAATAGGGGGAGACTTGAAAACTGATACAATGGTGGCTCTGCATATGGACATGGAGATCTTTGAAACTTCTCTTTTTCGAAGTCACCCCTTCTAATTGCTTATATAGAATAGGGGTATGTGTCTAAGCCACTTAATTTTTGCAACAAATTTCAGCAAAATGTTATAATACTCGTATTCTACTAATATAATGCAATTTAAATTTAAGGGTGAGGATACCTGTAAGATCTCGATGTATCTGGTGAATTACATTGGCAGCAGTCTCATTTCCTTCACTTGCCATGGTGTCTCATGATGTAGGACAAGCAACACGTATTCTACTAATATAATGCAATTTAAATTAAGGGTGAGGATACCTGTAAGATCTCAATGTATCTGGTAAATTACATTGGCAGCAGTCTCATTTCCTTCACTTGCCATGGTGTCTCATGATGTAGGACAAGCAACACGCATAAAAAGCGAATTTTAGTGTTAAAAGATAAAAACAAAGTTGAATCAATCTTGTGTTTGAGATCAGAGTAAAAAAAACATGGGTTTTCTTTAACCAAAACAAAATTTTAAAGAACAAGTTCTAAGAGAATATTGGGAAAATCATTGTGAAACACCTAGCCACTTGGTAAAAACATCAAATTCCGCATAGTCGCTGTCAGAAATCATCGTCTTGTACCATGATTTGCTGGCTGCTTTAATCTTGGTAGCTTCCTCCTGTAGAACACAAAAAAACAATATAAGTAATGAGTTCTAAAAACTAACAACTAATCTTGCAATGTGAAAAGCAGCAAAAATTAAGATATGAAGCCTTGGGTTAACATCAAGAGTTCCTGAATTTTACAAATGTTCACATGAATCATCTTTGGGTACAATCTTTTGTAAAGATTCACTAAGCATTGACGACAAAATCTACATCAACTGCGGCAAACACATTATGTATTTTTATCAGCAACACCACATGAATTGACAAAATGTGGGTATGAGCTACATGAAGCTTATGGGCCATCATTTTATAGGAGTGGGAACCTATTGAGTTTTATTAGTTCAAAACCAAAGAGATACAGAGACCAACAACGGTTGCTTACTGTTCAACAAACAAGAATTCAGGAAAAAATATTGTCAGCCAATCTCATCACCTTATTATCACCAAAAAGAGGGCTAAAAATAAGATAGACTCGATCTATACTCAAAAATAGACAGCAAGACCACTACTCTTCATAAGGCAGAGACTTAAATCGATCACAAGTCAATTACTTGAATCAATGAGCTCAATTATGCAATAAAGAGACAATCAGAGTTACCAACCAGGCGACCATGAATAAATCGTTTAAAACAAATAACATGCCAGAAATAAGGCAGAGCAGATAAGTTAAGAAAACATCTTAACAGCACGAGCACAAAAACAAAAGCATATACCTTGGTTATGGGCTTCCTTTTCTTGTCAAGCTTCTCCTTCTTAGCCTTCTTCCTCTGTTCCTCAGCAAGCACCGCCATCCTCTTAGCGGTCTTTGCATACGGATTCAACCTGAGCATGGTGTTCAAGTTCTTCAGTGGGTTCTTCTTCATTGGAGCCCTCTTTACTTCCTTTTTGATTGGCTTTACAACAGACTGCACCTCATCAGAGTTGATAATCCTAGCCAAATCAGCATTTGCCATCTTAGCCCTAGGCAAAACATAACCCTTCTTCTTCTCAGAAGTCTTGTCAAAGGACCCGTAGATCGAATCCAACTTCTCAAAAGCCGATTTCGTCCAGATTATGAACCTGCCAAGGTGACCTCCAGGAGCAAGCTTGAGCAGATTCAATCTCTCAACATTTGCAATCTCAACGCCAGGGATATTGCGAAAAGCCTTCACGAGCTTTGCACCTTCAGTTCCATATACAATCAATGGTCCTTTACGAGAAATGTATCGACGGTTACGCATCTTCCCCTTACCTGGACGAATTCCAACAGAATCCTTTGCTTTCTCAGCATCAGAATATGCTCCGATTTGTTTCAACACCTTGATAGCATTTTGCGTCTTCTCAACTCCCTCTGCAGAATCACTAACCACAAGGGGAAGCTCCGGAACAGATTCGATCCGGTGGCCTCGTGCCATCACGAGCGAAGGCACAGAAGAAGCGGCGATAGCCGAAACGACGGCGTATCGCTTCTGGTTCACGTTAATCTTCCTGTGCCATCGGCGCCAGATCCTGGTAGGAGCAAACATACGTCCACCACGACACATGTTACCAAAGGCACCCTGACCGGCACGGTGAGTACCGCCACCAGGCACACGGGGAATACGGGACACTGCACGTCCGGTACCCCATGACTCGGCGGAGGTCTGGTGGCCGGCTTTTCTGGAAACGGCGTAAGGCTGGCGGGAGTTCTTGGAGATGTTCGAATGAACGAAGTTGACAATGTCGGGACGGATCGACGCTTTCATAACGTCCGGGAGAGGCAATGAGGCGCCGTCGGTAGCCATATCGGAATCAATATGCTGGATGGTAACGAGAGGGCGCGCGGCGGCAGCCATTTCTCTGAATTAGGGTTTGAGAGCTGGTAGAAGAGAAATGGGAGGGTTTGGTGGTGTGTGTCGTTTTTAAGTTAAACGTATAACCCCCGGTCTAGTTCAGTCCGGCCCGAAACATTTTAAAACACCGGGCCAGAGTCGAACCAAATTTATTTTACTGATTATTGATACATATTAATTAAAATTTAAGACAAATTTATTTTACTGATTATTGATACATATTAATTAAAATTTAAGACAAATTTATTTTACTGATTATTGATACATATTATTTAAAATTTAAAATTATAAATAAATTATGTGTAAATACAATTTATTAAATCTTTATTTTTGAATTTATGTAACTAATTGTAGATAAATATAATAAAATATGAGATAAACGTCTCATTTTAAATATAAAAAATTTGAAATATAATTATTATAATCATTAGTTATAATAAAATACTTAATTTTTATCATTATAAAAATTATATTATTAAAAGATAAATAAATTATTTCGTTATCTATACTATATTATAAAGCATTTGACAAACCTCTTAAAAACCATTTTTTATGCACGAAGTACTGTATATTGATGTTTATTACTTAAAATTCAAGATTACAAGTAAATTTTGCATAAGTACAATTTATTAAAGCTTCATGTTTGAATTTGTGTAACTAACTGCGGATAAACATAAACAAACAGAAGATAAACATCTTATTTTAAAATATAAAAAATCTAAAATACAATTAGGATAATTATTGATTTCTAATAAAATAATTAATTATGATATTTATAAGAAAAATTATATTGTTAAATTATAAATAAATTATTTCGTTAATAAATTATAATAAAAAAATTAAATTAAAAAATTACACATAAATATGAATTTTAAATAGTTAATTTGATACTAATATATACTATATTATAAAACATTTGACAAAAACTTTTAAAAACCACTTTTATGCGTAAAGTACTGTTTATTAATGTATATTATTTAAAACTCAAAATTGCAACTAGATTGTGCGTAAGTACAACTTATTAAAGCTCCATATCTGAATTCGTGTAACTAACTGCAGATAAATATAATCAAATACTAGGTATGGTAATGGGGAGGGATCCCCGATTCCCATATTTGTTCTCATCCCCGTCCCTATCCCATCGGGGAATTTGATCACATTCTCATCCTCGTCTCCAATGGGGAACGGTGATCCCCAACAGGGAAACAGAGATTTTTTTTTCTTGTTTGTATAAGTTTTTTAAATCAAATATGTGAGACGCTATACAAGTTTAAATCTCATATTTTCCAATAAACATAAAATAAAATAAAAAAAACACAAAAAATATACATCACCATATAATAATTAATAAATCAAAAACCAAAAAAAGTAATTTTGATCTACAAAAATTAACATCACATTTACCAAAACATATTGAGTGATATCCAAAACCACATCTACTAATATTCAAATATATTGAAATAGAAATTACAATTTATCGATTTAATAGAAATAAATAATAATAATAATATGATTTTATTAATTAATATATATACGAGCACGAGGCAAGGCGGGGCGGGGAGGGGCGGGGAGTTCGATACCCGTCACCATCCCCGGTTTGAGCCAAATGGGGATCCCGTCCCCAACCGGGGCAGGTGGACCAGGTTTCCCGACGGGTCGAGGCTAATTCCCATGTATACTAACTATAGATAAATATAACTAAATAAATGATAAACATCTAATTTTAAATATAAAAAAGTCTAAAATATAATTAGGATAATCATTAAGTTCTAATCAAATACTTAATTATTATCTTCATAAAAATTATATTATTAAATCTGAATTAAATTATATAAAAAATTGAAATAGTTAGCTTAGTACTAATATCAATATATTTTAAAAACAAATTATGATATGTTCATGTTTATATTTTATTAAAAAATTTAAAACAATATCGTTTTTTTCTCAAAATCACATAAAATCGTATTATAACATCAACTGAGACAAAAAAAATAAAATAAAACATTAAAATCAAGATAAATCTCGCTTCATTACATAAACTAAAAATAAACATAAGAATGCATTTGTTTTTTATTCTACATGTAGAGGTCAAATCCTAGACAATACAAACCCCCCAACAAAAACAAATGATAAATAAATAAAAGTCTTTACGGCAGCCATAAAGAAAAGTTTCAGCGCCTCACTTTCTTCGATTCTTAAGGGTAGCGGAGTAGGTAACTTCATTTTTGAAGGGCTAAAAGTGTAAAATTAGAACACCTTTTTTTACTATAGACAATCACATGTGATACAATTATTTCATCACATATGATACTAAATCAGAGATGCGGACGATTTTCGATGCAATCTTGGTTGTGGGCCCGCCCTTACACCACTAAGCCCCTCACAAGTATTATCACATGTGATAAGGTGGTTGTTGATATGACACTATAATACATCAAGACCATCACATGAAATGCTAAATCATAGACGCATACAACCTTTGGTGTGGCCTAAGTCATAGAACACGTCGTCCGCACATCATAGGGTCCCCTCACGCATATTATCACATTTGATAAGGGTGTTCTCTTAAAATGGAGATGTTCTCGTTTGAACCTCCACCTATATAATCAAATAAGAACTAATTAGTTTGTGGTAACAGTGATGTCAAATCTCAACAACGAATCAATAGATAAATTAGAAATTTTTTTATTTTGGTAATTGTGAATTAAAATTTTAATGTAAGGACATTTTAGGTCTTTTTTTAATCTAAAATTAGTCTTTCAACCGGTTACCCGAGTACTTAAATGTTAAAAACTTTACATCTTAAATATCAATATGAAAGTTTTAAAAATACGTTACTCAAAATATAAATCAAGTTGAAGTATCAAAATTTGGTTACCCGGGAATTAATTGATTTGTTTTGGTGAACACGCATTTTCTAGAGATATGTTGGCAAGAGAGAACAAAGGTCGGTCAAGAGGGCAGAGGCATCAATCAGTGTTGTAATGTTTCTTTTTGGTAAAAGCCATTTTAAAAAGATATTCCAAGGTTCCACACATCCTAATATTGCATGATTACTGTAATATTGTTGACTGCTGATTTTGGTGGAAGGTTTTGTTATATATTGTTCTTGTTCTTGACTAATGAGGCCCCTTGTCCATTTCCATTCAGTCAAAGTGGGTTACCAAATTTCTCTCAAGTATATATATATATATATATATATATATATATATATATATATATATAAAGAGAGAGAGAGAGAGAGAGAGAGAGTGTGGGGGTGTGAGGTTCAAGAAAAACCTCCAAAAAATGAAAATTGAGGATTAAGAAACACCTTAATAACCATTCATTTGTACGATATGTACATTTGCATACAAGTCATTGAAGATGTTTCATGGTTTCTATCCAAGTGTGCATGTTATGTTATGCACATGTACATACTAGAAAAATTCCTTACTGAACGCACATGTGCATACGGTAAACATGGTTACTATGAAGTTCCTCAGTTTTTCAGTCAGGTTCAGGAAAAACCACAAAAAAAAAAATGAAAAACTGAGAAATACCGTAACATCCATTCATCTTGACAGTATTCACATGTACATACAAATAATTTGTGAGCAATTTGTCCGGTATGCACATGTATATAACATGAACACTTGCACAAAAACCAAGAAACAATTTCAATTACTTGTATGCACATGGACATGCCATCTAGGTGAATGATTACAAGAGTATTCCTCAGTTTCTACTCTTATATATTATTTTCAAACTCTTGTTGTCTTCATTGCTTTTCCCCAGGAAAAACATCAATCTCTTTGTCGAATGGTCCCAAATTGTAGAGCTTTCAAAGGGAACATGGTGGGTGGGGACCTTTCAAATGTCCTTTTCTCAGGGAACATGTTGGATCTTTCTTGAATAATATGGAGTCAACTATCAGACGACTACTCGTTATGGATACTTTCAATCGACTTGACTGGGGTTTCTTTAATTATTGTCTTCATGCGATCATTATCACGTGTATATGATGATTATATGTTATATAGCTTTCACTTTGATGTCTTCCAAGAAAGCCCCCATAGCTTCATGTATATATATATGTACATGTGTGATATGACCAACCACCTATTTCAACACATCGAAAACGAACCTTCTACTGCTTTTATAAAAACAGATATGACAGAAACCTCGAAGAAACTGAATGCAGGGCTTCCGCCTAGACGAGGTCTAATCAAGATACGTATATTTCATCTTATTGTCGAGATGGTTAAGGATATGCTGATTGGTCTACCCAAAAAACGAGCTATCTAACGTTCACTCGATACAGAATTACAGATCTGTCATAGAGGATTAGAGGGTACAAATTTTTCTTGAAATTCTATGCATTTTTCAAGATTCTAATTTGTCACCAACGTGACATTGGGTCTTTTGTTAGTAGTAGCTACGGATAGTAAGGTGATGAAGGTGCTTTGTAAGCGGCCATAGCTAATTCTTAATATAATGTCATGGAAATCTACTCTTTCTGATCGAAGAATGTAGACAGATAATTGATATTTACGTTACTTCTCTTGCTGTTTGAGTTGTTGTTTCACACTTTGTGACGATGAAAGGTTTCACGTTGTTTAAACTTTTCTTCAATGTCACCAAGCATTGTAAGCAATACGAATCTATGAGGGTTTAGCTTAGTTGTGATAGGCCTAGCCGTTTGCCACATGGTTATGAGCTTGGGTGAGCCTACGTTTGGATCTTGGTAGTGAGTTTTAACCGTCTGTGTATTTTATTTAATTCATCTTTTTATTCTCTTTTCAATAAAGAGATGATGTGTTTTCACGTATTTGATGACCATGTAGGGGACACAGGATTTTTATTCCTTCATGATAAGAAAGTTACAAAGCTCCATGTGTGTTGGGGCCTATTTGTAACTATATTGTTTCGGATTTGAGAATTTCAAGTGTATGGGGGTGTCCTAGACTTGAAGCATCAAGAAAATATTATGTTGGATACTTGGATCTGAGATTTCTGTTCTAATCTGGAATACATAACCAAACTAAGGGCCTGTTTGTTAGCAGCTTAATGAGCTTAACGGGACTTGCAACTTATTCGGTCAGCTATACATGACTGTTTGGTAGTGACTTAATGATACAAAAAGTGGCTTATTCAGTAAGCTTAAAGGGAGGAGCTTCATGCAGAAAAGCCATTTTTTTCCAAACCTGCCCCTCCCATTTAAAAAACACTCCTTCCATCTATGAATAAAACCCTCCCGAAAAAACTCTTCCCAATCTATACTTTATTCGTGCAAAACCTAATGGAAAACCAACAAACAGTCCCTAACCCAATATATCCCACAGAGAGGTGGGATCCAGAGAGGTGGGATGCATGCAGTACTTGACATCTACTCCAAAGAGTAGAACAGTTGTTTTCTTAAAAAAAATCCGATCATCGAAATAGCCTATATAAGAAAGAAGTCTGACCTGCGATTTTCCCATTAAATTTTGGAATGGAATTGGATGCTGTTTGATTTGGTGATGAGCAAGTCTTTCAAGACTGTATTCCACTAGTTAAAAAGGCAGTCACCACTTTAGAGGACAAACATACGCATGAATCTGCATAAGAAAAAGCAAGTATGCCACATTCATTTAATCTGGAGAACAGAGATGCCTTCATTTTGCACAATCATTTGCTTGTTGAAAACTATGAATATAACAATAAAGATGACCTATCGTCCGAAATGATTAAGTTATAGAAAAAAAACAGTTTTATTGATTATGCTTTTTAGTTTCAACACCACATATTATCAATAAGAATTGAAATAAGCCTTCAAACTTCAGCATCTCTTAAAAAACAAACAGCACCTAAGTGGAAGGTGAAAAGTAGTATACAACTTAGCAATTTACAACAACACTGCTTAACTAGCTGGTGATAAGTTTGTTCATAAACTAAAGATCATAAGGTGACATTTCTACATCAATTTTCTAGATGAAAACCGGTGCTAAATGCTGCCAGAAGTGGTACACTCACCTGGGTTACATGACACCCAGAATGCCGTGTTGACTATGTGTTCAACACGACAAGAACAGAATTCAATTTCATTCCAGATCCTACAAACCAAACACACCAAAGATTCAAAGCCTTCCGATTCCGAATCCTCCCAATTCCAAATTCTTGTACGAAATCCAGATCCCCCAAAACCGTTCCATCAAACCAAACGCCGCCCTAAGATCCAATTGGTTTTCACCAAACATTTTAATTTTACAGATCCTGTTTATATGTAGGATAAATCACCGTTGAGAGTTGAATGGCTACAACTAAGCATTTAAAAAGATCATCAAACTAAGAGCATCCACAACGGAGCCTTTTGGATAACTTATTTGAGAGCTTTTTGCCACATAAGATGGTGAAAAAGCTTCATATAAAAAAGGCACTTTTTGCTTGTAACTGCTCTAGCTCTTGATAAGCTTGTGTTGCTTGGCCACCTAACCTTGTGGGTCCCACTTCTTGAAAAACGCTCAAATAGAAAGCTTACCATTGTGGATCCTCTAATTGCCGCCACAACTAAAATCAAACCAAATGACACGGACCAGTAAATCCCACACAGAAGTAGGGTTTGGGGTTAGGATGTACCAAACCTTGCCTCTCTGAGCAGCCAGACCTGCATCTCTCTGTTCGATCTTTTTCCTTCTTCAATTGCATGAACAGTTTGAGAGTCATAGGAGTTGAAGCAGTTACTTATGCACGCTGATTACCACACAATAAATTTCATCAAATAAATTTACAGGCATGGAAATGAAAAAATCAATACACACACATGAAAGAGAGAGAGAGAGAACAATAGCAAGGTATGAGAATATGTGGAATCTCATTAGATTATTCTCCAACATATGGAGGAGAAATGGTCCAAGCATAGCTGATGCAGGACTTTTAACACATATGTATTGCCCCAAAGTGTTGAGTCCCTAGAGTTTGGCTCTAATATCATCTCATTAGATTACTCTCCAAAAAGCCCCTGGGAGAGAAGGGAGGTTCCAACACATATGAAAGAGAAATGGTCCAAATATAGCCGATGTGGGACTTTAACACATGGCATTTTGGTATCAAAATAACACTAAATCTTTAGTGAACTGGACTTAAAGAGAGGCCATGATCATAGCATGATGCAACTTTTAATACAATGGATGGATTTTTATGAAGAAAACCATTAATCACCTGGAGGAAGTGCATGCCTGTAATGGCAGTCTTTACCTCCATTTGGACATACCCAAAACCAACTGTATTGTTTCTTTTCCACTGCTTCCAGAAAGTGCTTACATCCCTGCAGTGACATAAGAAGTGAAGAAAACATCCACAAGATTCCGTGAGTAATAATAATAATTTGATGGGTAAATGCAAAAAGTTTCTCAGAAATGTTGAAATAAATAGATGTCATTAAATTTTAAAAATATTCTATCCCATAGTGGGCCACCAGATCCTACTTCCTTTTCCTCTAAAGAGGAAAAGAGATTCGAGAAAAAGATGGAATAAGAAGACGTGTTTCCAGAACGAATTAAGAAGCAAGTTTTTGTAGGACAGACTGTATTTAGGTATAAATTACAGTTTCTATGCTTTCTTTAACAAACAGGAAGAAACCCAAAGGGTTGGCTTTCTGTATATGCTGGGCCACTTGGTGCCTCATGAAGTTTTCGGTTTAGAGTCCGACTAGGTGGTATCAGTCGCTTATAACATCCCCCATGGACTAGTTAGGCCAAAGGGTTGGCTTTCTGTATATGCTGGGCCACTTGGTGCCTCATGAAGTTTTCGGTTTAGAGTCCGACTAGGTGGTATCAGTCGCTTATAACATCCCCCATGGACTAGTTAGGCCAAAGGGTTCCATGTCTAAGATATGTGGAACCTTATGCTAGTTACACCAAAAGGAGTGATGTAAGAGATGTGGAACCATATCAGATTATTCTCCAGAAGATCTGTTAGGAGATAAGGACGTTCCAACATGCATAGAGAAGAAAGAGGCATATAAGTTATCATCATTTGGAGAATAATCTCCATAAGATCTCTTAGAGAATGATTCATATGAATTTGAAGTTCCTGTTTTTGGAAATTTGCCGTTTTCAAAAGCTGCATATAAGTTATCATCATCATTTCCCACTTCCTCATTCCTCTCATGATGTTAAGCATCTGCTTCCGTAACTGTGCAAGTGCATGCTTTACCCAAAGCCAGGCATAAGAGATGACTCGAGTATAGGAACAAAAGCTTATTTTGTGTAATCACGATCGGGGATTTTGTCTAATCATGGAAGAGGATCAACAAAAGATAATGGAAAGACTTGCAATATCAGCAGGCTTGTTCTGCTTATATTACTTTCCCTTTGACGCGACAACCTTCTCCAAGGTAGCTTGATCCCAGTCCTCCATTGAATCTTTTCCATTTCAAGAAATTAAAATCCATCACAAACAGTACATAAATGCAGCAGTACTACATTAGGAGAAAGAGAACACATAAAGCTAAGGAGAAAAAGAAAAAGGCATTGTCACCATGATCATGCTGATCACTGTATAAATCAATCTTCTCTCCTTTTCTTTGGATATTCAAATCATGAGAGAACTTGCACTTAAAACCCTTTAAACAACAAGATTTAATCAAACACTAAATTTACAGACCCTAAAATATACTGGATTTATCACTTCATATGAATGGTGTTTCAACTGTTATAACCACACACACAGAGAAAAAGAAAACATATATTTTGAACCAACACTTTTACAACAGCAGCATCTGCAAGTTATGAAAACCGCACTCACAGATGCAAACAAGAAAACATCAAAATGAAAACCTAAACACGCAAGGAGTTCTTTCAAAACTGCAGCAAATACATTCAACCACAGGCCAAGAGTCCTTTGACCTATTAGCCCACTATCAACCCCAGCCAAGGACCCCTGACAAAGGAGGTTCAAGAATCAGGACCTTTAAGTGCAGTTGGCAGTTGTGTGTGTGAGTGATTTCCAAACCCAAAGAAAATGTGATTTGAGCTTCGGGTTCAAAAAATTAATTTCCACTTCAAATTTGGTTGAACTGTTAAACATACAAAAAATTATGGGTGTTAAGTTGCAACAAGAGTCACATCAATTTCAAATTGGAAAGAATTACAAGGACGACGTATGCACAGAAAAGCACAAAATATGCAGCCCTAAATATACAATACTTCTTCCTACACATGCAGGATACATTCATACAAACACAAAAAACATCATAATTAAAAAACTTAAAATGTAGAATTTCGCATGCATATCAATGTCATAATCCTAAATCATCGTATTTGAAAAACGAAAATGAAAAGAAATGAAATCCATACCAACTGGAACTTTGGGCTGGCTAACAGCAATCTTAAGCAGATCATTCAGCTCCTTCTCTTCCTCCTTTTTCTATTCATTCAAATCAAAAACATCAAAACAATAACCCCAATCATTAAAAAAAAAAACACAGCAAACATCGATTGATCAATCAAATTAAAAAATAAAACATAAAATCAATCATACATGCAACCAACCTTGGCATTGATCTTCGAAGGATAAGCGTAAGGTTGAACAGATTGACGTAAAGAATGGACGTATTTCCGAACATTTTTACTCTTATTCTTGAGACCGCCGGTCTTGTCTTCGATGATCTTCTGCTTCTTTGCAAAATCTGCTTTCGATTGCTGCTTCGGAGGCATCTTTAATAGTCATCATATCCACACCTAAATCTTCTCGACGATCACGATCTCCGAATTTCCTTCTCCGTTTCTATGATCCGTCTCGTGTTCGTTCCAAATTGCACATGAGGATTTCTAGAAGTTTCTACGTCTGTTTGAAATTACAATATAAACCTCCAGTTTTGGTCCCTGCACTATCAATTTGACACCTCCAGTCCCCTCTTTTATATAACTTGTCATCTCCAACCCAAACACCAACCTTATTTTTATTTATAATTTCAACTCCAACGATTTCTTCAATAACAATAATTATATTATTAAAATATTTAATATATTTATTATCTTCTTTTTTTATATTTAATTTCAAAGTTTCTTATTGGTAAGATTATATAATAACAATCATTTTCCTCTCGTAGAAATATTTAATTTTGAGAATTAGTGTCTTCTACTTTCTCCATTTTAAAGAATATGTCAAAAATGCTTTTACGTGTTGTGTGGTTGGTTTTTCATTAAATCATATGTATGGATAATTTTATCTGTATAGATTGACGAGAGTTTTATTCTCTATAAAGGTTTTTTCATAAATTAAAAGAGCATGTCTTCGAGATAGAGGTGGCCAAAATTCGGTCCCGGGCCGGGCCTTAACCGGTCCCTACCGG